AGAGAGCATGCCCGATATTGTTCTCTTGAAAAGACCAAGGGAACAGTTAGGTAGGCAATATAAAGTACACAGACAGACCTGAATAAGTCATTACGGAGAGTACAGTACATCATTGAGACGTTTGTGTTGATAGCGTGTGATGAGTGTGCAAATTCAAATTCACCTGCCATGAGAGTAGATGGAGCAGAGACAAAACCTCCACACATACCCTCAAGCGAACCAGAACCCCAGAGGAGCCTGCCATGGGCTAAACCAAATGGGACTGCAAGCCATGTCTGATTTATTATTTCACTGGCATTCAGCTTTGTCTCACAAAGGCTGTGAACAGCCAGTAAAAATCCCCTTTTCCTCATGTGCTCGCTCTGTCCCGGCTGCTGCAGGCATAAAGCTGACAGGGGGGATTGGCAGCAAGTGGCAAGGCATTTATGTTCTGGAAGTGGTTTCTGCCTCTCCTGCCAGTGAGGAGGGCAGCCTTCAGCCCCGTGACAAGATACTGTACATCTGTGGGAAGTGCACCATGGGAATGAGCTTACAGGAAGCCGTGAAAGCCTGCGAGTCAGCCGCTCGCAAAGTGAAGATCAAGGCCACCAGGTAAAGGTTCCCCAACCTTTGCATTTATTTTTGTGGTATGAAAATAGCCTTAAATACCTATTTCTCCTCTCTTTGCAATTCTCATTCAGTACTACATCTCCAATTGAATCAAAGCTCCAACTCACCTACCAGTAACAAATTCCAAACCAGGCACATGATGACAGTTTTCAGTTGGTAAGAGAAACCTCTGTCACCCAAGAGGCCAACTGCAGTATAGTACCAGCCTTTGATTTGCATCGAGTAACTGGAGGGGGAGTTCTGATTAAATCTTGGCCTACGACTGCATTGAGGCTGAAGTGCCAGTAAACATCACATTACATTTCTTAACCCTGCCCGTCAGTAGGCATACTGTGTACAGTACTGTACAGTATGTGCTCTCAAAGGACATCTCCAAAAGAACAGATTTCAATTTTAAATAGTTGCAGACATTTTACAACATCATTGAGATCTGATTTTTTATCTCCTATAAAAATGTTCAGCGTCGTGTTAGTTTAATGGTTTATCATCGGTGCACTAACCAGTGTTTTTGTTTGTTTTTCTCCCCCGTGTTCAGAGATGATCAACCTGTGGTACCCAAGGGAAGGTGGAATGGTAATGTGTCCTTCACAAATAGCTAGCACATAAGACACTAATAAGCTTAGTTATATGACTGTTAAAAATTGAAATATTTTTCCAGGTGGGAATAAACTACAGAATTGTTACAAACATGAACAGCCACACATTGACCATTATTCCTCAACCTACCAGTCCGGAAACCACACTCCCATTTGATATTCAAAAGGCCAACAACCACTATGAAGCCTTTCATATACAAATCATACTTTGTGCAATCTCTGGACTTGACCCATTATCCATTGATAACCTAATTCACCATAAGTGTCTCTATCTACAAATATTAGAGGCCTAAATTGGCATCAAGTGGAAGGTGTACTAGATTATCAGTCTTTTCCTTACCCAGCCTGCCACAAACTGAATTTATCTGGTTTCATGAATGCCTAAAACAGATTTCCAGACTGTGTATTGTTTCCATCTGTGGTGCGTTGAGGGTTAAGCTGCTGAATTTATTCAAATGTCAGATTCTTAGTTGGGTGAACATAGAGTAATAAGGTGAGAAAGCACGTGAATGCAAACATAATTATAGTGTACAGTATTCTAATGATGGTCTTTTACCTTTGTTAGCTTAAAGCCTTTTGTTTTTCAGAGTTTTAAAAGAAATGAGCTGTGATATTATTATTCTTTTTCATGGGTGTTATATATTTCATATGGTCCTTGTTCATATCAAGCCATCATGCTCTTGCAAAATTAATCTAGTCTGTTATCTGTTGCTATTTTCACTTCATTCTTCCTCATGCCAGTTTTGTCGCGTCCTTTTGTGAAGAAGCCCATTCCTCAGCCAGTGAGGCAGCTTGTCTGTTTAACCTTCCCTTGGGCTAATTATCTGCACTAGCTGTCAGATACTGGGGCTGTCTAATCCTATAAAAAGAGGTGGCTGTTTTGCTGGAGTGAGCAGAATCATCGACACACAATTTTCTTCCAGTCAGAAGTGGCATCAATGAGACAAGAGCTGTTCGAGTGCCTGCCAAGGAAAGAGACGACTCCCTGAACGCTTCACTGCCTGGGACGACATAGCGTCAGCTCCCATTAGAAAAATCCTCTTTTTCACAATAGACAAATCAAATTCTTTATTTTGTGCGGACGAACTGAATTCAAACACTCTTACACTGTGTGTATATTTGTATATACAGTACGGATGAATAGCATGTGTATCTGTGGACAGATGGTCTGGCAGATTGATAAACTGAAATTTTGGACACAAATGCCAACCATTTTCTTCAGAACAAAATCTCCATCGCTATGCTAAATAGAAATCACCTTTAAAAATCGATACAGTTTCTATACAGTATTTTAATATTTTCAGTCATTTTGATCTGTTTTTATCTATGATTAATAAGGATTAATTCTGTCATATGTATAATTAAAGCAGAATCTTGACATCTACTATTGTTAAACCTGACAGCTTTTTGGGGACTAATACTGTATATAAACTGGACAACTGTGTATAAAATGGACAACATTTCATAATGTCATATACAGGAAATAAATAGGCACTGTGCCGTCATGGTGTCATTCGCATTATAATATGTTACATTAAAAAAAAAACACTTTCTGACAGATTTTACTAAGACCAACTCAAAAGAGCATCTGAGTGGTCCAGTGTGTCGACATGAATACTGTCACGAGGCAGTGATCCCTGGCTGACACCAAGTCCATTCAAGTGCTTTTGTATTGGAATGTCGTTATACTGAACATGCATTCCCACCCACGAACCGATGATTCATTAAGCATGTTCAAAAATGAAAAGAAGAAATGCACTGTATTTAAAATCAGTGCCCAGAAGCACATTAATGAATCTGTTTTTCCTCATTTATACTCTCAAAGGTTCTGCACAGAAATCATGAATTTATTAGCTCAATTTTTTATTATGATGAATAATGAATATAAGCATTTTTTTCTAATTGCTTCATCAGTATTGATAGCTGTCTTGTACAGTATATGTTGTTAAAAAAGAATTATATAGAATTCTAGGACAAAACAGATTATTTTAAAGACAATTTACATTTTATACTACTGTAAATATTGCCAGCAGAAATGAAGAATGTTGAATATTTTATGATTTGGGTCTGATAAACTTATAAAATAGAAAACTTCAAAGAGACTAAATCTTTTTAAAAAACTATCTTTTTAGTATTTCAGTAGAAAAAATGGTGGAAATCAATTCATATGGTGTCATGTTGGATGTTTTGCTTTTTGGACAGTGCTGGAAAACAGTCTTTCGTGACCTAGTTTTATTTTCATTGACAAGCTCACAATGAGCAGCTGCTTGTTTGGTTATGACGGAAATATAAACCTGTCTGATGGCTTTGCTGTTGCAACTTAAAACATGTGCAGTGCCGGTCTGCAAAGCGAGGGATTCTTCAAGGTGTGAGACACTCAGGAGGTCCATTGGGAGCGTACAGTAGAACAGAGTCATAAAGACATTCTCGGATCTGTTAACAGGGCTTGTTCTAGGCAGTACAAAATACTACATATGATTATTATTGTTAGGTTGTAACAAAATCATACTCAATGTAGTCATGCATGCATTTCAAATAAGACCTAGTGCAAAGGTGCTGCTTCCAAAAGGTTTTATTTTTAAATGATTTGTGGTATCCTGTGACTTCTCTGCAGCATTATACTGTAATCATGTTGACTTTCCAAGTCATTTCAGTCTTTAATGTAATATAATGTAAAAACTGTAAGTGTTTTGTTGTATTGCAGCACCCAGTTGGAGTTTAAAAAAAGTTGAGTTATGTCATTATTTAAAAAAAAAAGGGTATCGCATATCCTGGTCTCTTACAAATGAATAAAATGTTAAATCCATGCATACGTTTTTTAAATATGACGATTCTTATCTCTTATTCTTTAATGTTCCAATTAGGTTTATTTGAATGGAAAAAGGATGTTAAGTTTTTCCCCCGATATGAAGAGCAAATTCCTATGGAACCAGAGACACCATGTGAAGACAGTAAGGATTCCAGCTTCTTCCCTTTCACTGCCTCCCTTGTGTAGTACTGTGGATGCGATGACAGATCCATCTTGTATAATACCAGGGCACTCTATAACAGGATTAATTATTACCAAGCCTGCTGCCTCCACTGGCGTATTGAAGTGCACTTCTTGCACATGATCTGTTAACCTGGCTCATCCGACCAGTGTGTGCAACTCTCGGAGTTGCTGGGAAACTGCTGGCTGGGAGGTGGAACTTCAAAATGTGGTGTTTGCACCTTGGGGGAGATGCACCAGCATTCTCTGAGATGGCAGGACAGAGAGAATGTCATTGTAAGTTTTTAACACGTTTCAGATTTTGATCATCTGTACAATGCTCTTGAAGAATTAGGTATTTTATGAGTTGTCTTCAGCTAGTAGTTTAAGCTTTTGTTATTACATTTTTTCTTACAAGTTTGTGTCCTTGTTTATAGTAGAGACAGCTTAGGTTATTGTTTTATTATTATTATTATTATTATTATTGTTATTATTGGGTTATTGACCAAATTTACGAGTCTTGTAACAAAATTGTTAAGATCAAGATACAGTATACAGGATATTGAGACTCATTCTGTGTGCTGGATTCCCTTACACACACAATGCATCTGAGCGAACAGCTTAGTCATGCAGCATGAAACTGCACATTCTTACAAAATGGGAACTCACGTGTTTCTTTTGATATATTTTCTTAGATTACATGTTAGAAATTAAATGTTTCACTCTCTCTTTTTGTCTAGAAGGCACTTCTTACTGATTTTATAAACATATACAATCAGTATATTTCTTTATTTCTCTACAGCAAAACAGTTAGCTGAGAGTGGAGCAAAGTTCCAAGAGGAGTTACTTGTCACTTCTGAACCTGAGGTAACTGGTCTGTTTTTTTTCAAAGAGACATTCTTAAAGCCTTTCTTTAATCCTGCCCTTTATACACGGAGTCATGTAAAAGGCATGTTGCTTTCCAGAAGTCACTCAAAAACCCAAATCAGGTATAAATATTTTAATAGTTCAGGTGGGGAGCTGCGTCAGCATGTGTAGACTGCAAGAACCAAGTAATAGGTTTACTCCATGCTGAAAAAAAGAAGAAAGAAAACACAAAGTTTTGGCCGTGGAGCCTTCTTCAGGTGTGAAGAAGGCTCCACGGACGAAACGTTGTGTTTTCTTTCTTCTTTTTTTCAGCAGGGAATAAACCTATTACTTGTTCCATTAATGTTTTAATACACGCTCATTAAAAATGTTGCTGCTCATCCGAGTTCAGAGTACTGTTTGAATAATTCCTCTGGGGAAGCTTCTCTCCCTCAGGCTAGAGTCCTTTGTTATTCTGTGACTGATGGCTGCAAATGTAACAGGACCAGATCATGCTGAAGCATCTTTACTGGCCTGGTTTCTCAGGCACAGTTCTCAGCAGTGAGTCCTCCTGTGCCCTTTCTCTTTGCAGAGCTGCATTGTCCAGGTGGACATCCAGAAGCCCGAGAAAGGAGGCCTGGGCTTTGCCCTTGTGGGGGGCAGCAGTGGCATTGCCCTCAGGGTAAAGGGTATCTGCCCTGGCAGCGTGGCACAGCTGGACGGCCGACTGCAGGTGGGGGACATCCTGTTGGAGGTACGATTACGTCACTCGCTCACATGCTGTCGTTATTAGAGGTGCATTTAGGTGCATTTAGATCAACCTTCAGACAACCAAGAGAAAAATCTGTCACCTTATAATATTGAAAACTATGCATAATTATTGTAAAAAAACTGAAAGCATGGTAACTAAATTGAATGAAACAAAAAAATGGTACAATCCAACAATAAAATGGATTTGTAGTCAGTGTGTCATCCTTTGGCTTCCAGTACTTGTCTCATTTACCTAGATTACTCAGCATTTTCAAAGGAGTTGGGCAACTGTTCCAAAGACAATGTGTGTGTATGTTAGCTGGAAAATCATACACGAAGGGAAAGTTATATACAGTAGCTGGGGATCATAACCTATCTGCACATAAGTGCTTGTGCATTTGTATTCATGTCATTACTATCCTGCAAGCTCCTTGTCCCAGTGAAGATCAGGAAATGCTATGAGCTCATTAAGGCCAAAGTATGTAGTTTGAGTGCCCTCTTTTCTTTTTGCTTAGGTCAATGGAGATATAGTGTCGGGCCTGAGTCACAACAAGGTGGTAGAAATGCTGAGGAAAGCAGAAGGAACTGTCTGTCTCACTGTCTCCAGGAATTTACCGGCTTCCTCAAGTGAATGTGTAAAACAGTTGTCAGAAACCCACAGACATAATCCACAACACACTGGTGAGAGCAGATTCTTCTTAAAATCATAGATAGTAGATAGAAGTAATACTTCCACTTAAAAAAAATAATTTTAATTTAAAACAGCTTATTCAATGTTAAGAGTAACGTTATGGGTATGTTTTTGTGTCTGTGTAACTCCCAGTTCATGTCTTTAAAGCCAAAGAACAAGACTTGAAACAAACCAGAGGACCATGGCACTTCAAAACCACACTGGCTTTTGAAACACACACTGGGGTGAGTGCAAAGACCCCAGCTCACAAGTCTGCCACAACAGCCTGGATTTTCTGTACACCTGTACAGTACACCTTTCTGAAAGCAAAGTTTTCTTTTAAAAATGAGAGCAGACTTAAAAAAACGTCTGGTTATTTATATCTTTTCAACATAAGGAACATACTGTAATAGGATCAAATGAAGGAAAAAATAGCTAATCTCTTTGTTTAGTAGCAGTCGGTATTGTTTTATTGAAGAACAATATAGTTAGACTGAACTCTCAACACCTCTGGCCCCTCACAGAAAGGCAGCAGTAAGAGTCAACCTGGGCAGTGAAGTGAAGGGACGTGAGCTTTAAAACTTCAGTGCAGGACACCCTTAACATATTCTCATCTCTTTTAACTACAGGAAAGCAGGACTTCTCCGTCTCCAGTGCAGAACTGCAGTACTCCTCTTTGTGTCCCAAACACTCCTCAGGACAGCTCAGACAGGTTGAGCCACCATCAGCTCCGGGAAACAGAGAGAAAAAGACTGTTCTCTTCTCTCATGTGATAACAGTCTTGTTCAGTATTGTTTTCATCTTTAAGATTCTTAAACAGATGTGACTTTTACTCCTTTTTGGTTGTTTATGTACTTAAGAACTAATTTTACTAAAACTGAACAGAAACATTTGCCATTGAATCACGTCTTTTCATTGGATACGTAGCTAAAGCTAAAGTTTGTTATTAAAACTCACATCCCATTTGATTGTTTTACTTTCCTGTGATCTTCACAGAGCTACAGTCAGTGAATGCAATAGTACAGTAGATGCTATACACTGTGGTACTACTGTCCAGAGTAAAATATTCTTTTGGACTAATAAATGAATAAAACTAAACAGAGAATTTCAAAATACCCAAATTTCCTAAACCACCACTATGATGTGTTTACATGGTAGATTTTATGACTGCCTTCCCATAACACCTCTTCTTTCCTGTCTTTTTCAGTTGAATTTTACTTAGGGCAGTGAGCTCAGTAGCATCCCCTAGGGCTTTTGTGTCTGTCATGATGTTCTTCTTGACTTGCTCTTTGGCAGGAGGCACTTTCAGCCTTACAGAGGTTAAACATCTAAAGGCTCATCTCCTGACATAGACAACTGTGTGCGAAGTTCTGACACATGACAGGTGCTAACACTCCCCACAAGATGGAAGCAGAGAGCCAAAGTTGAAAAGAGAAAATCCGAAAATGCCGGCCGTTGTGTAAAATCAGTGAACAAAATATTGGCTGTAAATCGTAGACCTGTAGCTAGGTTTTACCGCTCTACTGTCTTCTCCAGTGGAATACCTCAGAAAACACACTTGGCACAGACAAAGGGGATTCCTGCAGGTGGCTGGAGTAGTGATGAGGATGATGAGGTGCTTCTTCCTTCTGTTCAAGATATACAGCCCTCGACAGGTAAGGCTCAATCCTCACTGCTGAACCAAGAGGACATGTTCTCCTAAACAAGCTAGTGAAGTGTTTTCTGAATTAGACTCAATGATGTTCTTTACTTAACCAAAAATGCAATCATACGTCCATTTTCTTAACACTTCACCCAATTCATGGCATGAGGCAGGATACACTCTGGAGGGGACGGCAGTCCATTATACAACACGCACCGACTCCTAGGGCCAATATTCCCAGACACCAATTAACCCATTTGTCTTCAAATTTGGAGATGAAACTGGAGACTATTATAACACCAGTGTTTCACAAGTCCTTTAGGTTTAGGACCAGAGACAGGGTACCTATCAGAGACATACGCACACATACACCAGTGCGCTTGTGACTAAACAAACTGCCACGTCACTGAGGGCACACTCTCGGTGATTCAAGCTCTCGGTTGTACTGTAATTCTAATGAGCTCATCTGCAATATCTATGAATTAATAGAACATTTCATACTTGTTTTCCGTTTTGTTATTTATAGATCTACTGTAAAATGGTGATTGCAATTCTTTGGATTTGAAGCTAAATGTTTTTGTATTAAGGCAGAATTATTGTGTCGGAGAAGGAGCTGGCCAGGTTGTCGCTGATAAGCCCCCCTGCGAATGGACAGTATTGTGGGTCCAGAGTGAAAGAGCTAATTGAAACGCTGCAGCTGAGGCTCGAGCAGCAGGAGGTGGTGAAAGAGTTTATGGTAAAGTCCCTTGTCACCTGCAGATTAGGAGATCATCACCTTGCATGTCCTGGCATTATTTACTGACCTCAATTTCAGCTCTCTTTATGCACTGGAGAATGCTATATGCAATGTAGAAAATAAATACGTATTTTAATTTGCCCAATCTTCCAGCAGCCTCATTGTTTGATTCCACAAAACACGTGGAATCGTGAAATGAAACATGTTTACTGGTCACTGTGTGATATCCTAATCGAAGTACAATACTGTAGATGTCTATTGAGCAACCTGAAGGCATATTTTGTGCACTGGCTTTAATGTGTCCACAAACATAATTGTTGAAGCATACATTCTTTAAAATGGCATTGTGATTAGAAAATGAAATGGATTTTGTTTCTTTAAGGCCTTGGAGCACCTGAAACCATCTGACAACTGCCTTATAGGAAAAGCCCCAGAGAACAGAGAGAAAAACAGATACAGGGACATTCTGCCTTGTAAGTCTTTTTAGAACCTCATTTTGTATTAGAGTGGCACACAGCTACTTGGCTCTGTGTATTGGGGTGGCACAGGTAGTAGGCTCTGTGTATTGGGGTGGCACAGGTAATAATAATAATTAATAATAATTGCTTACACTTATATAGCGCTTTTCTGGACACTCCACTCAAAGCGCTTTACAAGTAATGGGGACTCCCCTCCACCACCACCAAGATCATTGGGGTGGCACAGGTAGTAGGCTCTGTGTATTGGGGTGGCACAGGTAGTAGGCTCTGTGTATTGGGGTGGCACAGCTACTAAGCTTTGTGTATTGGAAAGGTACAGCTGCATGATGCTGTTATTGTGGTGGCAGAGCTACAAAATTCTGTGTTAAGGTGGCAAAGCTACTAGGTTTTGCTGGGTTTGCAAGCCTTCATGTTAAATTTGTCCTTTGTAATGTGTTTCTGTTTTTTAATTCTTCCTCCACACATTTTCCCTTTTTTTTCGACAATTGAACTATTTGTGAACTTTGCTGAATGTCAACATTTCTGAACATGTTCTCACAATTAACATTGTTCTTGTACCAAGTCAAGTGTTTTGTCTGGCTGAACGAGAGAAGAGTTATTTGAAAGACGGGGACAGCTCCTGTCCAATACTGCACTGCATACGTCAGACTATTTCATTATAATCTCTTACACTTCAGCATTTATATGCCATATTAATGTCGTATTCAATTATATAGTCTTATGTATTAACATCATATTTATTTTTAAGAAATACAACCTACAAAACTTTCTTTGTGTTCCTTTATTATTTTCTGAATTGCTAATTATATCTGTAAAAAAGACAATGCACCATTTCTCTAACTACCAAACAAGATACATGTGCCAAATGGCCTCCTCTCATGTGTAACCATTATTATGTTCTAGGTGGTAAATCAAGTTGTAATATGTATTATGAGCCATTTCTTAAGTAAGTTGATGTCTCTTTGAGTATTGTCATTTATCTGTTCTTTTCCAAAAAGAAACTTCATACCATACCAATAATTATGGTTATGATTACAGAGTGTTTTGAATTTTTTACCTTTTATAATCTTGAAATTTCTTTTTCTACTCAGCCATGTCACATCTGCACTATATTTGAAAATATATGGCATATGTCTCTGATCTGCGAGATTACATGAAATACATAATCTTGTTTTCATTATTATGAGGAATGGCTACCTGATATGCAGACACATTTCTAGTACAATTGGGCCCATTTTTAATTTGTAGAATGGTGGTCCCTATTCAGAATTACACTCGGGGGGGGCGTGCCCCCTATAAACGCACAAGAGGCAAGCCCAGAATGGTCAGGCTGTTCTCAATGTGGTGCTTTATCAGTTCAGGAGCAGGCTACTGTACTCTTTTAGGTGTCGTGTTTGTTTTGTTTGGGGTTTTTTTTTCGGCTTCTGACTGGCCTTCTGTTCTGAATAAAACATATGAGATTGTGAAGTGTGAGGCCCAGGACTTAACAGTATTATTACTGGAAATAGTTCAAGGAGCACAGGGTTCTGCAGGAAGCCTGATGCCACCCATTGTGGAGGAAATCTTGCACGCATTCACTTTTCTTAAGTGTAAGTCTGCTCTCTTCGCTGTGAAACATGTTTGCATAACCCCCGAGTACCACGAGCTACATGCGAATCTGCCAACATTCCATCGGTTACCGCTGAAATGAAAGAGGTGTCTTGGCCCGCTGGGATCTTTGTCTAACTTCACTGCTGACGCCTTTCTTGGGCATATTGCCGCAACATGGAAATAATCATTTGATCAAGGGAAATGGAAATTCTACTCATATAAGTTACATCATACTGGAGAGCACTAATATAAGTTTTCCACTTTGCACTTACACAACCAACCACCAAGTTCTTTTTTTATGTCCGAGCTAGTGGTCAATTTTAAACCTTTAAAGATTTAAAGATAGAGTCAGTGTGTGTTAGTGGACCCTTACACATGACAGGATAATCTTGGTCATTTTCTTTTTTTTTAAATAGATTTTAGTTGGAGGTTAAAGCATGTAAATGGTACTAAAAGATTCCAAATATGTTTCACTTCAAATAGTCTAAATATGACTCGATACTTTGCTCCAAATCCATAAAAGTAGTTACAAATGAGTGGAGGCCATTTCAGCCATCTCGATCATTTGGTTTTTATTAGTTTTTCGTCTAAGAATCACATCTTGACATTTCCTGAAATGCTCCATTCATCACTTCGTGCCTGATGTGAGGTTATGAGACATAACACTTTGAACCTTTTGAAAACTGAACTCCCTCTTAGAGATGGGTTACTCTTTCCTCCTTTTGAGCTTCTGTCTCGAATGCCGACCTCATTCCTCCAGGCCAGTGAACAAAAGATGAAGCACAAAGAGCTGAGGCAAACTTAAGAGGAGTCTATTGTGAAACATAAGCAGGCCTCTTTTTGTTGACCTCCTTGTTGTACTGTACGTGGTGTATAACTGTACATCCTTCTCTTTTGCCCTATAGATGACAAAACACGGGTTCCTGTGGGTGAACAACAAGGGTATATAAATGCCAGTTTCATCAGAATGTCTGTGGGGCCAGAGGAGAATTGGTACATTTCATCTCAGGGACCATTGCCTGGGACAGTCGATCTCTTTTGGCAAATGGTGTGGGAGAATAAGTCGGATGTGATTGCCATGATGACTCAGGAGGTGGAACGGGGAAGAGTGAAGTGTCACAGATATTGGCCAGAGGAATTAAATGTGCCAATGGATACCAGCAAATACCAGCTTCATCTGGACAATTTTCAGATTCATCATTATTTTCATATTAACATCATCAGGATGATTGAAAAGGAAGCAAGTATAAAATATTCTCTTTTTGTGCAGTTTAAAACTCTTTGAACAATGTTAAGATCGAGGCTTACCACTACATGTGCAAAAATGATACAGTTGTATTGTCCTAAAAATTGAGAAAGACATTTTTTACAGTTAATGACATTGATTTTGATAAATCTATGTTCATAAATTAATACACGTGTATTAGAGTTTGGTAATTGTAACAGTAATTGTCATTGTGTGTTATTTGTCTCATAGAATGAACTAATAGGTTCACGTTATATTTAACAGAACAGCTCAGAGAGTTTTAGATTCATTTAACTGAAAAAGTCTCCTGGTGTATCTGTGCAGTGCCATCCCTGACCCTGTCTCTGTATCCCTAACCCCAGCCCAAACTGAAGCGAATAAATGCAGATTGCAGGGGTTGCACATATGTGGAGGCTCCTGGCTAGGTTTTAAAGTACAGTAGATGTATCATCCAATAGCTTCTCACCTACTGGTTTGTCTCTGGGTGATATCTTTCAGACTGGAGGTACGCACATTGTGAAACACTTCAAATTCACTACGTGGCCGGACCACTGCACACCAAGGTCCTCAGACCAGCTGGTGAGGTTCATCCTCTACATGAGATCAGTGCACAGGCAGGGTCCGGTGATTGTTCACTGCAGCGCGGGGATCGGGAGGACCGGCGTGCTTATTTGCACTGATGTTATTCTCACAATGATAGAGAAAGACTTAAATGTAAGTATAACTGCACATAAGGAAACTATATGCTTGCAAGGGCTTTTCAATAAATAAAGTAACAAGCTCTCTCAGTGGGAAATGATTTACCATAGTGGGTTTAAATTGATAAAGCACTCTGGCACCAGGTACCTACCACCTGCTATTAGTAATGCGTAGCAGCAGTTTAAAGAGGAGTGCTCTGCAAATGCTATCAGATCAATGCTGCAAATCTAGAGTGCACAATGTGATTCGGTGATTCGGTTTTGGCAAAGCACGCAATGATAACTGACATTCAGCCAGCTTGCTCACAGAGGTGTGTGGACCCCATGTCATCCAACAAATTGTAAATATTGCAAACATGTGTGCATGCAGTGAAGTGCCTCTGATAACAGCAGGATGGGTGTTCATGAGTGACCTAGGCGTTCAGGCATCTCCATCACTGATGAGAATGTTGGCCACATTGAAGGCATGATTAGGGAAGACAGATGCGTGAAATTTGCTGTCATTGTAAATTAGCTCAACATATCCTTGGGTACCATATACATCATCATCCATGGGCATTTGGGGTGCCTCTAAGTGTGTGCCTTCTCCACTGTGCATTCACAGATAGCCACTAATCTACCCTGGTGTTGCTTTCTTTGCTGCATTTAGCATATAACATCATGCACAATAACTGGGATTCAAGGGGGTGGTCACCATGGATTTAGAAAAGGCAGGTCTTGCTTAGATAACTTGTTAGAGTTCTTTCAGCAAGCTACTGCAGCAGTGGATACAAACAGCATATGATATAGAGAGTTTTGGTAATCAGAAAGCTTATGATAAATTTCCTCATAAAACATTCGTTCTTAAGTAGCAGGCAGTGAGCATTCAACGTAATGCATGTCTGCAGTACAGTATATCATATAAAATAAGAAATGCTTAAAGAAAATACTAATGAACAAGACACACAGTAGGTGTTCATTTGCCACATCATTTATTCTAGATATTGCAACAAAGCAACATACATGTAGAGTTTAAATTAGGAAATGTTACAATTTTACAATGCACTCATAAGACCTGATGTACAATATTTTCTGTATGTATTGGTTACCATGTTACAAAAAAGGTTTTGCTGCACTGGGATTCGTCCACAGAACAGCAACCAAGCACATTTGGTGGTTCAAGGAGGATGGAGGTTCAAGAGGAAAGGGCACCTGATTCATGTATTCAAATCTCTCAAAGTCATTGGCAAAGTCAACCAAATGGACATCTTGCGAACTATCACTGAAACGTGAAGCAGAGAACAAGAGGACTGTAGAGAGGTGTGTTTAAAATAAAAGTGAGAACAGGAGGCACTTATGGAACAAGATACACTAGCATTTTTGTAAAGTAGGTGGATGAGACTCCCCAATCAGCTGCTTGTGACCAAATAAGCTAGATGAGCCAAATGCCCTCTCATTTTGTTCTTATGCTGCATGACACTAACAGGCCACGTGCCCACAGCCACTCCAGTGGATGTTTACAGCTTTACATGTACTGTAGGACATGCTGGATGACCACCCACCACCCTAGTTGTTATAAATAACTCTTAAATGGCAATTTGCAGCTGATGGCTGAATTACGGTAGGCAATGATATCTTGGCTACAGGAGCTTCACACAGATCTCTAGTTCTCTAGACTGGATGGTGTCAGGACACATGCCTTAACAGTTTGGAGGAGGATGTGTGAAGTGATGTGTATGATAACCTTATTATCAGTTATAGCAGTAACTATGTACAAACAAATGCATTGTCATGGTAGATCTTGCCGTAGTTATTGAAACACCCAAGTATATTTGTATATAGCATTTTTTTCATTTGGATTTCACTTTTTTTTATGTTTCATCACAGATCAATGTGAGTGATATTGTGAAGGAGATGAGACAACAGCGATATGGAATGATTCAAACAAAGGTATTCTGAAAAAAGTAGCATAAAATACAAGGCATATGTAACACAGAAGAGACTGAAAAAAGCATACATCAAGTGATTTTTTAATATTTCTTTCTCCCTAACTACATTTTGTGGAGCCAGATTTTTTTAAAACCTACTAAAGTCATTTCCTTCTTAACTACTAATCAAACGTATAATTTCTAACTTAAACATCCTTTAATTAAGTGCCCAAAGGAGGTGTTACTTATTTTACTTTAGAGAGAGATGGATTTTCCTTTCCCAAAAGCATGATGTATAGATCCTAATAAATCTGACCGACAGTAGCTCATTAATAGGTTGTGCTGTAATAATGGAGTTGCCATTTGCTTTGATTTCAGGAACAGTACCTCTTCTGTTACACAGTCTGGCTGGAGGTTCTACAAAGCATCCTGCTTCTTCAGAATGGTAACCAAGGGCAACAGGAAAATGTGTTGTAATTTAATCATGTTTTCTATGATAAGTTATTGCGCCATTTCCAAAGAACAGCATTTGTGTCTGTATATATACCACAAAAGGTTTTAACAGCAAATATCTACATATATTTTTCTCTAATCTCTTTTCAGTATTGATTCTGAAATGTGCTGTTTTATAATGTGTGTAATTTAAAAGCATGCAGTCCTTAAAAATACATTCATGTATGTGGAATATATGCTGAGCCATCTGGTTTTAAAAGAAGACCAATCCGGCCTTTTTTTAATACATTGGTTTCTTGTTTTTCTCCTTTATTTATTAAGGTACAGTAGACTGTTCAAGAGCACCGATTGCACATTGTGGCTCTTAGTCATTTTGCCTTGGATGTTTAACATATGGAAAGTGTTAGCACTCATGACTTCAAATAAGCCTTCATTTAAACTTCAATTGTTAAGCATTCAATTGTTTAAATCTCTTCTCCAAGTTATGTTAAGTTGAAATGGCAATTTGTTCAAGAATGCATTTTACATTGACTGTTATTAGTGTAATAACATCAATGAAATTCATGAATCACATTTTATGATTTCAAGACTGATTTTTAATGAATGTAGCTTGAATGCTAAAATAATCATGATATTTATTTTTCAAATCCTTAATCCTCTCTAAAAACTGATTTTTAAATCTTAAATCCACTGTTCAAATAAAGAATAAAGTTCTTTTTGAGATCACATGTGAAGTTGGACATATGATTTTATACTTAACTCAAAATGGAATCCCACAGATTACAAACAGCTTCTAAAGATTTGGACTGCAAGACAAGGAGTTCAATAACTAACAGATGTAGGATGGCCAGAGGTTCTACCACGTGAAGTAAATAAAACATGCAGAACTTTTGTGTGATTGAGAATAAGGTTTTATGCGGTGGTCAATTTTCAAAGGCAGCATGTTGTACCAACTACAGCAGGAGAGAATCACAGAGAAACAACATGATGAAACAGGAAGATAATGTCAGTGGAGCAAGGACGTAGACGATGAGCTCAGATCTGTGCCCATGTTCAGACAGATGGCCTGCTCTAGCTCTGCTTCCTCTATGACTTCAACCAAAGACTACAGTCTTTTGTGTAGAGAAAAATTAAAGGTATGATGGCCAATACTGCCTGTAAGAGACATTTTTAAAAATACATATGTAAGATTTTAGGATATATATTTTAATACAATAATCATCAATACTTAAACATGAACATTCAAAATTTATTGCAGACAGATTGATTTTTTTCCATAACTTAGCACTTTAGCTAAAGAAGTCATTGGGTCATAAATTTTGAACAATTGTTCTTTAAATCCAAAACTTGAATTTACATTAAACATACATTTAAGTGTAAATTCACTGTGATTGTTATGCATAACAAGTTTTAAAAAAGTATTCAATCAATAGAACATTGCTGTTTATAGGTTTTTGACCATTTTGAACAACAGGATTGGAAATTCATGAAAAAATAAGATTTACTGTTTCTACTAATGAGAAAAGCAGATCCTGCCTGGAAAGGAATATTGACACCATAGAGACCCATGCCACCAGGACAGGTATTAGATTATTTCAATAAAGAAACAATTGGTAGAATTTTGGAAATTTGTTGTTTCTTCCATTATTTCAGCATATTGCACTGTACAGTATGTTTTAATAAACGAATGAATGCCATTGTGGAAACTTTGATTCTAATAATGTATCTGTATTATATGTACAGTTTACTCAGGAGACTTTGTACACATTTCAGTTGTATATTTATCTAGAATTGCACAATTACATCATTCAAACAGTACAGATTTTCTACTATACATATATGAAATGTTTTTTCAAGTGTTTCATGTTGTATGCTTTTCTAAATTTCTAAGTCTTGTCAATATACATATATATTGTTTCTACACACACACACACACACACATTACCATTAGGTTTTTCCATACAGTACAGCACAAATAAATAGTTTTCATTAACATTTCTTTGTCTTAGTGTGTTAACTTTTGAACAGTTTTCAGTATTATGGCCAGGTTAGCATACGTGAATTTCTCTGGACTTCAGTTTCGAAGACTATGCATTCAGCTTGCATTCATTTTGTTTGTATTTCTCATGCAATGTCCATTAAGACAATGAGACCTAAACATTCTGACATTTAAACCCTTCACCGTGATATTTTGTCACATTCTGTGATCAGCAAAACTGCCCTTTAGGTATTGACATCTTTTGGAGATAACGACCTAACACTGCATTATTAAAGTATCGCACAAGTGCTATGAGCACTTCACTTTCTGAGAGTAAAAGAGAACGCCTCCACAGAGCCCAGTCTTCATTTCTGTATACAGTATATGCTGCACACCACCAAAGTAGTGTTCGCTTTCTGCTCATTATCCTTTGTTCTTGTTCATTATGTTAAGTTATCTTCTGTATTCCTGTAAAACAAACATTTTGTTCACACAATACATTAAGAAAAAGAATTGCAGACTCAATGTCTTACTATAAATGCACATTATGACATGTGAAGCCGGAATAAGAGACTTTGAATCAGGATTTATCTTTCTAGCTGATGGCCAACTTTAGTGGTCTAAGTTTTTCCATATTCAAAGGATTTTCTCTTGACAGGTTCTATTTGTCTGCAGTCTACAGAACGTTGTAGCCTCTGAATTTATGTTCATTGCATATCCCATTTTGCATGCTTTGTTATTAGAACGGAAAAAATAACTCATATTAAAAATTTCCATGAGTGTATTTCCATACCTTTTGCATTTCTTCAAGAATGTGCTGGTCCTCCTTTTGCAAAGCTCTGTGGTTGATTAAAGTCTGGTAGATGAATTCTTTCCTGTGTTGGTGCTTCACGGAAATATAAAAAGGAATGCAATGAAAACCTTGTTTTTACGGTTTAGTCTGGACTAATAAGTCATTTGCGTTTCTTAAGGAAAATTGGTGCCGATTGCTCATACAGTGAAATAACCATGTTTATGTTCAGCTACTTAACATTTCTTTTTAGAAGTAGTACTGATCATTTAAGTACCTTAATTTATAATTTCATTGTTTTGAAAAGCTATACAATGGGACTGAGCTTATTCATACTTAAAATGGTCATTTTGTAATTGTAAAAGTAGTAGCCAGTTCCATACCTGGAAATCCATAGCCGGGTTCCTAGCTTGACCAATATGAAAGAAATCTTTCTAATGGCTCCAGTAAATAGTTCAATCTGAAAAACTGAATCAGGGACAAATGCCCTGAGCACCTGCCTGGATTCACTCCTAGTTCGTGCAGATCAGGGAGGACAGTGATCCACAGCTCAAGATTTAATTGAGCAATTGGTGGCTTTTCATCCCAGGTCTTTAGGTTTCAGTGCTTTAAAAAGACACCAAGAACCTGCTATTCTGTCTTGTCCACTGGCTATTAATAATTAACACATTTAAAAAGTACCAGGCACACATATAGCTGGACCAATAGTCAAATTCTATGACCTCAAACATTAGGTAGAATTGCATTATACAGCATTAATATGACCAAACAGTAAATATACAGTACAGGTTACATAAGGTCAAGAAACCTTAATGCTAAACCAACGAATCCTGTTCAGATTTTCCCCAACACATTCAGGTATGAGTGATGTAATATTATATTTCATGCAAACACATGTCAGCCTATCTGTACCTTCTGTAATTCTGACATTTCTTTCCTGAGCTGCTGAGTCAGCTCTTCTTCCCTTTTCTTGGCAAGGGCCCAGCTTCTCTTCAGCTTGGAGGAGAATACATGAATGCAGGAGAGACAATTAATACAAACCGACTCTTTACACGGCTCAGATGGCACTGAAATCATGCTGTTAGGGCGGTGGGTAAAACCTTGCATTCGTAGTCAATTCATAATTCTGCAGTAATTCATTTTGTCAAATCGTTTTTTAACTGCATGTCTCAATCACGGGTTTGTACAGTTCTGGGCTGGTGTGTTTTCTAGGTTTCTAAGATAATAACAAGCTGATTTCGTTTGCGAAGAGCTGAACTGAAATGAAAACCTGCAGACACACAGCAGCAATTGTGACACAATAGCTTCAACAGGTAAGACTTTTACTCAGCAAATGCAGCAGACAGCTTTGTTATTACTGGAAAATTCATGTCATCGAACACCCAATCTAGACTAACAGTTCATTTCTTTATGTTTTGGCTCACATGATCCCTGTACTCCACAATGAGGAAATGAAGATTCCTCTATCCCTTACCCAACCATCTCATCCCTCAATGCCACAGGCTCCACAACGTCTTACAGGAGTGGCCAGGGACCCATTGACACCAGCCCTGATAATCCCAGCCCTGGCACAGTGATGACCAAGACACTGCTGGGGAAACATCAGCCTGTGTCCATTAGCAGCACATGACACAAATCACCACAACCCCCAACACTGCCAGTACACCACCTTTCTAAAGCCCTCTGGGATCCTAGTTTTTCCTCAAGCTCTCTTCACTTGACTTACCACACAGCCACACTTGTACAGCACAAGTAAAGCCCTTTACACATAAGGCTAACCTTACTCTTAGACTTAACTTAATCCTAAATCCTATATCCTATCCTACAGTATATTGTCACAAACCAGTCTACCAGTTCAATCAATTGCTAGCAAGAGGTCTCACTCTCCTAGCTTCCAGAGTAGAGCATAGACACAAACTGAACCCCATTTCCTCAAAAGATCCTGTAAGCCTCTTAAGTAGCCCAGACGCTAACTAAGGTAATTGATTAAAATACACACAGAGCCTATCCTAGCAACTCCTTTCCCTGGATGTGGATTCTCACTAGTTCTGAGTGCTGATTACTCATTCAGACCAGCTGTACCTCATTCTGCAGGTTCTCCCAATTAACAGGCCTCCATCTTTGCTCAAGCTATCATCTTGACTCTGTGACCTGAATTTTGAACCAAGATGATAGCTTTCTCACAAAGCCACCTCTCACTACCTTGCATGCTGTTACCCAGACTTAAACTCAGGAATATGGGCCACAGAGCTCAGTCCATTCTTAAGGTGAACACCTTTACTTGTTGAGCCACTCCAGTGCTTAAAGCCACATAATCTGGTTAGTGTAATGATTCCTGCATGATATTCATGCTACTACACTTACTTGATCTGAATTTTCCTTTCTTAATCTGTCCAGGTGTGTTTGAAGATCATTTGTTCGTGATTTAATTTTCTTTGATTTAAACTCAGCAGAACGCATCCTGATGAAGAGATTATACTCAATTTCCGCAGCTCTGCTTGCATTTTTCTGTTATGAATGAAGAAAACACCATGAATTTGTTATAATATAATATTTGTGTGTATTGTTAAACTTAAGACATGGTAAACATGAAAAGTAAAAACTAAGAACAAGCCCATGTCTGAATGAAGTTTGTCAGATTTAGGAGGAAGATCCTAATCTTGCCTATTTCGGCATTCCTACATGTATATCTCACTTCCTGAGCTTTTTTTTGCACATCTCTCTTACTTCCCTTCCATCACCCCATCTTCACCCCTGCAGCAGCTCCCTGGCTCATTCCTCATGAAACTGAAGGGGGATTCGGTCTTCCTCAGCCTTATAGCCAGGCTGTCGTCCTTTCAGCTAGGAGACTTACTCCGAGCAACTTCTAATAAATACATTTTATTTATTATTAATACATAAATGTAGTCTTTAAATCTATTAGTATCTGTCTGTTCAGACAGGGTAATCCAATTCCAGATCATTAAATTATTGTCACATACGTAACTACCCAGAATTGTGTTTCAGGGGCATTTCACTTCTCTTTCTCATGTCTTGCTGTCTGTTGGTAGATTTACCATGACATTCAGCGAACGCTGAACAAAAAGCTGTGAAAAGTGTTGTGAAAGCACAGACCTCCCTGGACCTCATGCCTTCATCAATGCCCTTCTCTGGGCTTTGATTCCAGGGCATGGTGACCTTCACGTGGCCCATGTTCCTGAACGGTAGCATCTGAGGTTACTCTTACCTCTGCAAACTGAATTTGTTGCAAATGCTCATTTGAGTTGTATTTTCCTCTGACTGGCGGGTTGGCCTCCAGTCTGTCATGAGGTCTTGGAAGACATGAACCCTTTTTAGGCGGCAGATTTATTCCCAAGCCTCCTTTCACTATGTAAGGATTCCTATACTTTTTGGAATCCAGAAATCCATCTGTTGCACATTTACGCTCGTGTTCACTAGCAAATAAGCACAAATGTTTTCAATTAGGTGAGGCCAAAAATACTATTTTGTATAATCAATTGAATAGCTGTGTTTTCATAAACAATATTACTGTCATACAGTAGTCATTAACTCATTCCATATACCTTGCAAATGTGATGATTGATTGCTGTTAGTGAATACTGCTCTCTGATTTACCCCAAAACTGAGTTAATGGTTAGCTTGATATTTTCTCTGATGTCAAGGAAAAGTAGCAATGTGTCATCTGGTGTTTGGTTTGGAGCAGATCAGGCCTGCATGCTGTCTTACAGTGGGGTCAGATTGTCTGATATGGGTGCCAGCCAGCACAATATGACATTAGAATGAATACTTCCATTTATCTGTAAAATACGGCGGAGTAAAACACTGATGTGGTAAAGTCATTTAGAGCTGCTGTTTCTGCCCCCGTGATTTACAGTCCTATGGAAAGTGTAGAAATGATCTCACAGCCTCCTTGTAAATCTAGCAACTGCTAGGTTCATAGTAGAATACAAACAGGACTTCTTCAGATTATAAAAATAGCTTGGTGAAGAAAAAAGAGAAATCAAAACAATTTACCTGGAATTTTAGTTAAGCAGCTGTGAACAGTTTATGTGCTAAAAGCTCTGTGAGACCCTAATTTTTTCTGTTGTGTTTATGCAGTGTCAGTGCAGAAATGTTACAAATGTTTTCAAAAGCTGATAGCTGGCATTAACACTAATCTTTGGAATCATTAATCCTTAATAAAGTCGCTGTGCTAATTTGTTAAGTTGTTGCTGTAATTAACAGTGGACTTGTGCTCTGTTTTCATTACAGCCTCTGGAATCCATCACCTTCAGAAGCTGAGGATACGGGTTCTCTCCGAAAGGTCTCAGGTTGTGTCTGGGGACTTTTGGGGAAATGATCGCCCACAGAGGTAAATCAAGCTAGTGCCCTCTGGGTTTTCCCAGTGACCAGGAGCCTAGTCATTCTCAGTGAACACTAGACATCTTGACAGTGAGACAGTGGAAGGTGTGGTTATGTTCAAAGATCAGAGTAGCTATTGGGAATCAAGGTGCTTCAGGGAGTTTGTTTCAACACAAGTAATGGAACTGCTTTCACCTGCTTGTCATGGCGACAACCACCATCGTAAATTTCAGCAGAACAGTGACCATTGTCACAGTCCTGTCTAAAGATTCCCTATTATATGTCACCTATGCTCATACCTGTTAGGCTGATGTGATAAATATTGTAACCATACTGTGAATCACCAGGAAAAAGCAGCTTGAATCTGGAGGAATGAACTGTAACCATTATATCTACTGTACAGTATATTAGCCGCATGAACCACAATTTCTTTTAAATTTAACCATCATGTATTTCACTACATCTATACTGTAGCTTTGCTTGGGCCCCATTGCTATACTGTTGTTAGACCATTTCATTAAATCCAATGAGTGTGACACGAATCATGAAATGAGGCCATGCGAAGGAGAGAGACTGCACAGCGGACTGGTGAAAGTAGCCCAATAAAGGCCCGACTCACAGCAGAAACCCGGCGTACTCGGCGGAGCTCTGCTCCCTGTCTTGGCAGCGCAGGCTGGCTGCCCTCGAGAGCAGTTTATAGCGCTCCGTCATCGTGTCCTCTCCTCCACGCCGAGGCCTCACACATCTGCAGCAGCAGCGCCAGTAGGAAGCACACAGCAGGCTGTAACAACAGTACCATTCTAGTTTAATGCTGGTCGTGTGGCACTGCGGTCAGGGGTTCTGGACATGTAGCTAGAAGGTGTTGGGCTCCACGTCCCATGTAAGGCAATGCTGTGGTGTCCTTGAACAGAGTACTTCTCCTGAATTGCTCCAGAAAAAGAGTGCAATTGTCAGCTTCTTGGGATAACAGCCTCAACCAAATACATTGGTAAGCAGTAACTGAGCCAAAGAGTTTGAGAGCCTGGGGTGAGGGCAGAGGAAAATGCCATGCGAGCTCTACCTCTCTGCGATTTTGAACTTCTAAACATTTTTCCTTTTAATTAAGAAAGCAGTCGTCATATATCCTGTAAATTGTTACCTAATGTCATTTAATTGAAAATCTCATCAACGTGCCAACTCGCACGGTCGTTCGGTTTTGAAACTATTCCCCAGAAAGACGAGGAAAGCGCAGTAACCTTACCTCGCAGTCGCAGTCGTGTGTCTGGCCGCTCGGCTGGTGTGTTTGTTTTCTGCATTGTTGTGTTTGAGGCCCTCGGCGTCGCTCTGGTGACAGCGCAGCAACACACAGAGGAGCCCTTCACGCACTGCTGAATACAGACTCCGCTGTGTGGGCTTCACAAGTAAGGACAAATAGGAAATACGCCCAGGAACGTCTGTCATGATCAAGTAAATCTTTTCGTTTGCTGTGCCTTTAATTATCTTGGGAGTTTTATACTCTTCATACACCTTATACAGTGTTGGAAGGGGAACCCCGTAACTTCGATTGCAATCATTTTTCTTGAGCTTAAAGGACAACCTCATCACTGTATAACTTCTAACTTCACTAGAACGTCAGCATTTTCTCCAGACTCTTCCACCAGTTAGGGCTAAAAACCTGCAAACTGTTTCCATCTTGGCTGGAGTCTGAGAGGACAAATACACTCTGTGTTCTCTGTTTTCCCCCAGAGTTTTGTGTTTGCTACCGTGCTTTAGACTATATTGATATTCAGAAGGGGGAAAATGAACGCTAATTAAAGAATAACGACATTTTTTAAATGTGGAAAATTATACACAAATCGTCACCATCTGCAATTAAGCAATCAGTAATAGTTGAACCAGGCAATAATTACAAAAATATTTTTGCTATGACGACTTTCAGCTTTAAAACTCCTGCGCCATTCTTCTGGTAAATACACAATAGTCCATTGCTTAGTATAAATGAGGTTACAAATGAGAGGACGTAATTTGGCACATTTAGCCATTTAGTAGTTCATAGTTAAGGATCATATTCTTCTTCATTAACCATATCCTGTTGTTTTTTATTTTTTTTTATAAAAACAACTCTTTTTCCTGGTATTTATCCTACTTGATTTGTTGAACCATTTGCGATACTTTTGTTGATATTGATATTAGTTTTGGGATAATTTTTTGGAGGGTTCATGGAGAATCTGTTTGAATTATTTCTATCCATTTTTTTCTACTGATTCCATATCCATCCTTTCCTGTTTTGCTTCTCTTAAACCTTTTTTTATTCCTTCCAAGTCTGTTTTCCCAATACTGTAAGCTTTAGCTTTGGACTCAATCGGTACAGCTTCAAAATGTATTTCAAAGCTGCACCATATTGTGATCACAGTTCCCTTATGGTTCTCTCAGTTCTGTTTGCCTCTCTCTGTCTTCATTGTTCAGAAAAAGTGAGATTTACACTTTATAGAATTTCCTGTTGTTGATGCTGCGAGATGCTGTGCACAAAAGCCAGCTACAGTATGTCTACCAGTCCAGTTCCTACTGCGGACAGGTCTTTCCCAATCTGTGGTGGGAAAGTCAAAGTCTCCCATGAAAAGTGTTTCCTTGCATATAAATTCTTGAAGAGCTTTATAAAATAGTTAAGAAAACACCAGGATCGAGTTATAAAAAAGGAGTACAATGATAACGAACGCAAAACGATAAAGTATAATGCACCTGAGACAATAATGGGAAGCTTCTAGACGACGAAAGAGAAATGACTGATGTTCTAAATGGATATTTCACTATGATGTCCACTAAGGAAGCAGTCAACAACATGCTTCAGGCAACAGAGGGTCTGTATTAAACAATGACAGTATAGAAGGAGTTTTTTAAAAACTCTAGATGGCTGATGTAGTAAATGGGTAAGTGAATTTAAATGAAGGGGTGTAATGTTGAAACCATACAATGCACTGCTAAGATCTCATTTAGAATAGGGTGTACAGTTTTCGTCAAAGCATTACAGAAAAGATAT